GGGCTGTATGTGTTGCCCTCGGTATTTCTCCGGGATCCGGGCCACCAATACCCTTGGGGTAAATGGCGTCCGAGTCCGGAGCTGGATGACGGGTTCTCTGGAGCCCTCGGCCACCTTCTTCTGCAACTCCTCCATTTTGGCCATCATGGCCTCGTATTTGAGATCTGAATGAGGGGTGGAGGTGGTGGCGTGAGCATTGTTGTACTCCATCTCGTCAAGCCGGCGTTGGAGGGCCGCAATAATCTCGTCCCGGGGATCCTTCGGGAGGGTCTCCGCCCCCTGCGAACGAACCCGGGCCGAGTGGGCCTGGTTGATCTGGTGGCGAGCGTCATTGGCATGAAGGGGTGCCTTGCCTTTGTCCCGAGGGGGACGCTCCTCGTCTGCCCTCGAAACAGATCCCCCGCTTTCCTGGGGCCTTTGGAGTGCTTTCCCCCCGAGGCGGCCTTGGACCCCTCGGTGGTCTAGCCCTCCTCCGAGCCGGTTGAGGGCGGAAGTACGGGGCCTTTCCCTGTTGTCATTATGGCGGTCCCGAGACTGAACTTCCTGGGAGGACGTATCTTGGGCCACCACCCCCTCGTCGTTCCTCACCCGAGGGGTGGGATTTCCGAAGGGGTGTGGCAGAGGGGGAAGCATGATGTTTTCCCCAACCTGAGGGGGAGCTGGAGCCAGGGTGCCGAAGGCACCCGGGTTCTGGGTGAGCGTCTGGATGAAGGCGGAGAGCGCCGATTGCACGTCGATGGTGAGAACCGGAGGGCTGACTTGGTCATCGCTCCGGTTTTTCTTCTTGGCCTCGATGCCGAGGCGGGCATCGGGGGCATTTTGTTGAATCTGAAGGCGTAGGTCGACAGCCGCCTGTTCCAGCCCAGCGATGACACCGCCCTCGGGAGCCCTGTGAGAGGCTTCGGGGGCGTTGACGTCGCCGAGGGCCAGGTTCTTGTCTTCTACGTTCTTTGAGTTGGCACGTGTTGTCCTCACCATTTTGATAGAGGGCTAGTGTTTTGTGTTTGGTCGAGGGGGAGGGTTTCTTACTTGATTGTTCGACCTCTCAACGAGAGCACCAAATGGTGGATAGTCTACCCGGGGGTATATATCCGAAGGGTTATTACGGGGAATAACTTAGAGAGAAGTCAGAGCAAGTAAGTAAAAGTAGAGAGAGAGAGAGTGTATTCAGTATGAATGCCGTTTTCAGCGTGGTTACAAATGGGGAAATGGGGTGCTATTTATAGTAGCAATAAATGCCGGGCAGGGACACGTGTCAAGCGCTCATTGGCCGAGGGGTCACCTCAACTGGTTGGCGCTGGCAGCCGCATGTGGCCGCATTTAATGCGGCTGTTGGATGGGACGTCTGTGCAGGGTACGGTGATCTGTACGCATGTGAGGCGGATATCTTGTCGAGTGAGATGCCTTCGGCTACAGAGCAGTAGCCGAAGGCTCCTCCAACCGAGGGCACCTTGGTGCCGAGGGCTCACAGTACCGAGGGCTACTGTTTTCGCCGTTTTCTCCCAGTTTCTTAGTTTGCTTGAGAAACCCGTTCTGTGAGAGTTTAGAGCCTTCGGCCAGGGGGGCGAAGGCACCCCTGGCGCGTAGTGCGGGCTGCTTGGTACTCTGGGCGCTGTGATTTGGGCCTGCTGGGCCTTCTGGGCCTATTGGGCCTTCGCTGGAGTAGTAGGAGTATGTGGGCCGGGGGTTCCCGGGCCATATACTCCATCAACAACATTGCATGCACAACTCAGATTAAATAAGGCTACATCAAAGGTGATTGAACAAAACACATATCACCAAAATTCTTCTCTACTCATGATATGGAGAAAGAAGGGACGATCAACATCCAACAAATCAGATCCAGTGAAAATCCGGCCGATCTCTTCACCAAATCTTTACCCCCAAAGAAGTTGATAGAACTTGTACAGAAAATCGGTTTGCGCCGCATTCAAAATTTATGTTAATTTCAGGGAGAGTATTTGAATGCACTGCGTTCTTTTTTCCTTCATCAAGTTTTTATCCCATCGGGTTTTTCCTGATAAGGTTTTTAACGAGACAGTACATTCAAATACAACGACATTATAAGTCGTAAACTTTACCCCTTAATTTTTACACTCATTTTTCACAATATTTTTTTAACATAACAAATATCTATTCAAGGATGAACATTCAAGAGGGAGTGTTGTAAAATCATAAAAATGACATGTGTGAATGTCCATCCTTGTAATCAGGACACCTAGCTATTTCTAATCCTTGTAATCAGGTCACTCATCTACTTCTAGTCCTTGTAATCATAGATAGACAGATGACTTGATTTACATGTGCCAACAAAATTATGTAGAACTATTTGGGGTGATTCATCATCAAGCTCCATCCCTATAAACAGGGCTTGATGAACACTTGTAAACTCACTCAGAGATTCAGAAAATTTTTAGATATTAAGAAGAAGTAATTCAGAGGTTATTATTAATATATCTGTCTCTTAAATTTAATCTTGATCTTCTTCATTTCACAACAATTCTAATATTTTACAAATTCAAATGAAAGTATTGGCATATATTATTCGAAAAGTGTTCAAATATAATCAAATAATAAGTTATTTTGAAATCCTTGATAAATTTTATGTTTTATGTTTCTGATTTTTAAAACTGTTTTAATTAGACTGATTTTTTAATGTGATTTAGCATGTTTAAGTTTGATCTAATATGATTTAGCATACGTCTTCTATGATTTCTTTACTGGTGCCTATGTCTATCCTGTCTAGGAGGGAATCAGTCAAAATATCCCTTTAATGGTCCAATGTCAAACGCATGCTAAAAAATTTGAACAAAACTTGCAATTAGTAGATATCATCACACCGACCAACTCGCGTGAAATGTTGATACAAATACAAGAAATTGCATACGTAGTACTAATATTTACAAATAGTGCAACACAACTAAGAAAAAGTATAGCACAACGATGACGCACGAGATAAATATCATCTTTAGTTTACTAAGTTCATGTGAAAATATAAAAATGAATATCATCAAATTGTTGAATATGATAGAAATCTTCAACGTTCTAGGTTAAATATTACTCCGTAGTTATAATTTAATTTATAGTTGAACCTTGAGAGCTAAGATTTAAACCATATTAATTAAGTTGTAAAAATTGCACAAACATGATACAACAACAAGTCATGAACATTACATTACTAGAAATAAATAGTCATTAATGATTTCTAAAATTTTAATATTCTTTCAATACTTACCAAAGTATAACATAAATTATCTAAAAAGAAAAAATAACAATATATATAAACACACACATTTAGATATCTTAGGAACACATGAATACATACTTGGGCTATAAAATTGTTGGTCTATAAAAGAGATCTATTGGTGTAGAAAAAATATAAAAAATTCAAATGCATTATTTTCGAACGGTTCGGTCCGGTATTTTTCGGTTCTCAAAATTTAGGACCGGTACCGTACCCGTTTCAAACGGTACGGTTTCGGTACGGGATAAAAATCTATAGAACCGTTTAAATACCCGATATTCGGTTCGGTACCATTACGGGACGGTTCGGTAACGGTTTGGTTCGGGTTTTATGCCCACCCCTACATTTTAATATGGAAAAAAATATATTAAAAATATGAAAGAAATAAGACTTCACAGTAATTGATTATAGGGTTTAATGCACCAAACCCCCATGTGATATGGAAATTCGGCGCATTAGCCCCCTGTGATTTAAAAAATGCTTCAAACCCCCTTGTGTTTTAATTAATCATGCACAGAACCCCTTTTATGAATAAATTCAATTGTCAAATAAAAGAAAAATGATTAACATTTTTGTATGATTTAGAGATTTTGACATATTTACTTGTATATTCAATCAGAATATTAGAAAAAGTGGTTTTCAAATCGTTAAATTTCTTCATAAAAGGGATTATGTGCTTGATTAATTAAAACACAATGGGGTTTGATGCATTTTTTAAATCACATGGATTAATGCGCCGAATTTCCATATCACAGGGGGTTGATGCATTAAACCCATTGATTATATTTAATTCTAATTACAATGTCAACACAAATCTAAGTTTTATATACGAGTATCAGGTTTTCAATGAATACAAATTATTTGTTTTATCAATGGAAATCGTCTATATTGGAATTAACAAACTAAAGATCATCACAATAAATTCAAGATAATATCAACCTCAATAAGAAACTCAATGATTAAAATTAGAATATGTCAAAAATCGCTAATCATGTAACGTGCAAATGGAAGGTTAACTTGAACATGTAACGTTCAAATGAGACACAAAAATCGCTAATCATGTAATGTGCAAATGGAAGGTTAACTTGAACATGTCTATTGCTATGCTTCTAACTTGATATGAAAAAATTATAATTTCTCTAAAATTTTAAAATGAATGAATTATAAATAATAGAAAGTGCATATAGGCGAAATTGTAAATACGGTTGAAATTAACCATTATTTATTGTTTGATGTAGGTTTATTTTTTATTTTGTTTTGAAATTACTCGGTACTATTCTTCTTTTGGTATTGTTATAAATCTACCGCAGTATTCGTTTAAGATAATGTCAACATTTTAATTAGTATATGACTCATACCAGTAATACGGAGTATTTTTTTAGAGAAAAAAAATCGTATTGCACACAAAACTAGTTCACCAATTGTACATTTGTACACCTCCTAGTTGATTGTACATAGACAATTCATTTTAAAAATGACAGAATTTTATACAATTTGCGTACATTTTTTGTCGAGCAGAATTGCCCTTTTTTAGAAATCAATACCCTTATATCAGGAGTTTCACAAAATACATGATAAATTATTATTCTTTTTTATTGAAATAAATAAACTTCCAACTTTCCTTTTTCATCCGTTCCAATTAAAACTTCCACTTTCCCTTGTTGGTAAAGAATTTGTGGTTAACAACATTTCTTACACATTTCTCTCTCCCCTGCATACCTCTCCACAACACAATATACATTATCTTAAACTTTGTGTCAAACACATTTGGAAGTTAAAATGGGAAAGGATGTAGTATATGTCAATACCACTGTTTGAATAGGAAAGCCGCCTGGAGTGACGATAACCTTTCTCCTGATGATTCGAACTCTTAATTTTAGCCCTTTTTCTCTCCAGAACGCGCAAGTAAGCCTCTCTCCTTGTAAGTATGTAAAGATAGATTTGGTTGTATCGGACTAGATTTCAGCTTAACTTTAGCAGGGTTCATTGAAGGCAATCTGTCAAAGCTTCAACAGAAACCATGGAGATGGACGGTATTGTTACAGCCTGAATTTCATTAATTTCTTCTTTTCCGTGTCATTTTATCTCTAGCATGTGTTCTGTGATGTGTGTCTTTCCTATTGTGATTAGGTTGTTTGTTCTTGATCAGTTGATTGCATTTGGCATTTTTATATGTCTACAATTTTAATTCTGAGTGTTTTGTAGTGTAAATTGATTCTATTTAATCCATCTTGGTGGAAACAATTGTGTTTTTTCGTGTTTTCCAAAATAGTACTCAGTAAAAAAAACTTGAAATTCCTACACAGAAGTGCCGTGTTTTCCCCAACCATGTTGTTATATTTTAGCATTACCCGATATATTTAAGGCAGTTTTAATGTCATAATTGGCCTTATTTACATGTAAGGCATTAATTACTCCTATATAGAAAAAACAACATAAGTCTCATATTTTGGAATATTTTTACCTATTTAGAACAAATTCTTGTGGATAGAATTCACTTTGTTCAAGGCATCATTTTAAAACTTAACCTTTGTTAGCAATTTCTGTATTGTTTATGCTCTAAATTTCGTATTCACCTACAGCTCAACTATTTCTCTAGCTGGCATACTACAGGGTCATGTTGGAGTGACATCAAATAGAAATGTCTATAATGGTATTAGGACTTTTTGTACTACTGAAGGTGCGTCATTGCATTAATTAGCAAATCTCGACATACTTTATAAGTTTGATTTCCTTCTAGTACATTGATGTCTAAAGCAGTAATCTAGTAATCGTCGAGCTTTCTTCCCTAACATTATCTCCTTACAAGATGTCTGTAGTTAATTGAAGTTAAGACTAACACTTTTCTCTGTAGTTATCTGATTGTATTGATTGAGTCAGCTGCTAATTAAAAAAGTGATGCAGAACTTTTATAATTATTTCATTTGTTAACTTGTGTTTGTTATTGTGTGCTTAAGTTTTATCTTCTATCTCAAGTGGGTGGGTATAGAACGTAGTACTAAAAACATGGTAAATCAATTGTTTGTTTGGCTGATATGTCAGACATGTCACTCAAGAAATGCATTCCATGCAACTCAAAGGACTTGAAGCCTATGACTGAAGGAGCCGCGAACATCTTGATGAAGCAGGTTTGATTGCCGATTTTAGATTCTCCGCCGCTTACTTTGCACTATCTTGTAGGGATGGACTCGGGTCGGGTTAACCGGCCCAAACCGGTACAATTACGGCCCGGCCCGGACCGGTACCTGGTTCTGTGCTCGGTTCAGGCCACCCGGCCCGGCACTGTAGAGGGACGGTTCCCGGGCCTCCCAAATGATGAACCGGCCCAGCCGGTTCAGGCCTGGTCTGGGCCAAATTAAAAAGGTAAATGGGTTGGGCTGGGTGTTTTGGAGGTGTTTGAGGTGTGGGGGTAGGAAGTAATTAGAAAATAAAAAAAATAGGGTACCCGGCCCAGCCCGGTACCTGCCGGTTGGCCCGGCCCGAACCAGGCCCGGTAGGTACCCGGGCTGGTTCCGGGCCTAAGTTTCCCACAAAAAAGCCCAGTCGGGCCCGTACCGGCCCGAGTCCATCCCTACTATCTTGTAGAGCATATATTAACTGTAAAATTGACAAACTATAATAACAGGAGTTTTTGTTTTTTGGAGGAAAATGTGTAAGAAGCAAAGAAAGAACTTATATTCCATTATTTGGTTGGGGAGAATAAACTTACTAGGAAAGAACTTATATTACATTATGTGTAACAAGGGTTTTTTTTTTCTCTTCAACCAAACATGTTGTTAGCCATCATGCAAGAAATGTTGGCCCTTACCCATTGCCATCCCCTCTTCTTAAGGTGTATACTCTCTACACAATAACATAGATAGATATTATACATAAAGCCAGTTTGGTAGCCAAAAGTGGAGTTTTTGGCTTGTCAGCAGAATAAGTATAATAAGTAGTTTTGAATTACTTATTTGGCCTATTGTATTTTACCAAACACTGTTCATTCACAAGATTTTACAGGTTTAGCCATATTATAACAACCAGTACCAAACACGCTCATAATTTTATCCATTTATTTGCTTAGGCACCTCAATGGAGTTTGGTGGATGGTGGTGGAGTAATGAAGCTGCACAGGTCCTGGAAAGTCAAAACGTTCATGAGAGGAATGGAATTTTTAAATATGGTTGCATGTCTTGCAGAGATAGAAGGTTTCTCATAATCCCTGGGACAATTCCCCCCCCCCCCCCCCCCCCCCCCCTCCCCATCAAAACTTACCTTCATATTCAACTTGTCTTAAGCAAAGATATCCGCAATGATTATTTGATTATTTTGGTCTTCTTTTCTGCAGGTCATCATCCAGATCTCCATCTTGTAGGATGGAACAATGTGAAAATAGATATATGGACACATGCTGTGGGTGAGGATTCACTTATATCCTAGATCTCAATGCACTATATATTGTTCTAATCGCCTACACATCATTTTCTAGTATGCGTTGACCACACTTTAGCATCATTTTCTAATTGCAGACGCAGTTAAGAGACTGTTCGGTAATGCTAAAATTGGTGTTGCTGAACTTGCTCAATTGTCATACAAGCTAATCTAAAATATATTGCATTAGAAGAATAAAGAAAATAATGCCTGAAAGTGAACTAGAATGCCATTTTCTGTCATTCCAACAACTTCATTAAAATACTTTCTACCTGACCTTTTTAATCCAGTCCACACTTCAAATAAGTTAGGGTTTGGTAAAAATTGCATTGGTTAAAAAGACATGCCATCAAACATGATCCATCTAACCTTTGTCTGATACTAAGTAGACAATAGGGACCCAATCCTTCGCCTGTCTAGTGTTTTTAGATATATTTTTAGAACAGCGGGATTTATGATATGGACTTCATATGTTTTTATGCAGGGGGGCTTACAGAAAATGATTTCATACTTGCTACGAAGATTGATAGGCTTGATGTGCAGAGTCTTTTGAGGATTTGAAGTTCCTAAATAAGTTACTAGTTCGAATACTTGCTAGGAAGATCAGTTGTTTGTTTTTAAGAAATATACCAAGTATGAATTAAAAGGCAAGAATGGATTTGAAGCTTCATCTTTCATACTGTATAAGACTTCTAGGCTTTTAGCCCTAACATAGCTGCAGACTGCAGTTTATAAAGAATGCTTCCTCCAACCCATATGAACTTTCACTTTTGGCACCGGAATTAAGAAAGTGAAATCTGTGATAGACATTTATTCAGACAGCAAACAATATCAACTACGTAATTCCTTTTTCATATTTCAGTGAGAAGTTCTTTTTGTGTTTTTCACTTTCTATCTAAAAAAAATAAAAAATGAGATAGCGGAATATAATAGCAGAGATTAGCTCTGGACCTTCTGCCCTTTTGGTGAAGAACAGCTCACACCCCCTTCCCTCTCACTAAAAGCTTAAAATGAGGAAAGGAGATTGGATGCCTCTAACATGCAGTACTTTTTCCCTCCATTTACCAATCTGAAGCTCCCTGATTTTTTTTTCCAATCTGAAACAGCCTTCTATCAGCTGCAACTGTGAAATCACCTAAATCTGATGCCAAATTAAGTTAGTAGTGGTCTTCAAAATTGATAGGAAAAAGAAACTCCGCATTATAGACTGAATGAACATTTGAGAGGGAGCGAGTTTTGTCATTGCAGTAGCCAATGATAGTAGTAGCTCCTGCCAAACAGCCAAAGAGAATTTTCAATACTCACCAAGCAACTTTACAGGTTTAAATTTGAGTTGTGTATTTACGCTTTAACTATTGAGAGTGTCATTAAGCTTTAATACTAAGTTGCTTTTATTGTAGACCTTGTTTGGCAAGTATAATAAAAGCTTGGTCCAAATAGATATGGAGTATTTAAGAATATGTTAAAAAATGTGTCACACATTAAATAATAGAATTCAACCCTATAGAATTCAACCCTAAAGTGTGTCACCAAGCAATGATAATTTTATTAAATACTGTGTACAAAACTTTTTATTCAACCCTATAGAATTCATTATTCTCATTAACCAAAATGACTTGTCAAAAGCCCGGTATTCTCAATTAGAACTCTAAATTATAGGAGCAATGAGCTGAAAGTATGAATAAGTCCATAACATATACGGAGTATGCTCCACCAAGTGCTTATAACTACCGTGTATTTAGCATCCAAACTCTTGACCGTATGCTAACCATACCTTACGCTATGTTTGGCTAGCCATTTCAGCTCAAAATTATTCTAAATTCAGCTAATTATTATCTAACTAATCATGTTTGGCAAAGGGACTTAAAAGGGCTGGATCTAAAATAATGGAGCTGAAGCAGAACGCTACCCAAGCTAGCGTTTCTGTTCAGCCTGTTATATAATTTACTTTCGTTCCTAGATTATCCCCGCTCCTGTGAGCCCCGTCTTTCTTTTCTCCTCAGTCGATCGTCTCTTTCTCTCGCAAATCACCTGCCTTTCTCGGTGCATGTATTCTTTAGAGAGAGAGGGAGAAGACGATGGATGATGGTGTGACTCCGTGTGAGCACGGAAGATCACTGTGGATCACAGCAGACTACGAGCTTCTTCAATTCTTCACTCTCCGTTGCTGCTGTTGCAAGACTTTCTGATGACTAGGGCAGGTTTTCGGCGTAGAAAGGGGCACACGAGCTAGGGAATCGGATGAGGAGACCTGCCACGACTGACCACCTTGCGATCTTATCAATTTCTCTCATCTTCTTCCCCAGATTTCCATTTTTACTGCTTTTGATGTGTCTTGCTTTTACTGCATTGCTTGGATGACAAATGATTTGAAGCATGATTCATTGTTTCGTTGAATCATTTTTCTTATTTTTACTTTTATGTTTTAGAAAAAAACTTCTCTTAACATTTACTCCTGATAAAGTATTACGTATAAAAATATTTAATATTATAAATCATTATAATACATATTTTATTCTCTTATTAAAATATATGCCCTTCAGTGTAATTTCATATTATCCTGATACTTTTTCAGTTCTTTTTTCCAAACGACTCTACTTTATTCAGTTAGCAATTCAGATTCAACACTTCAAAGTTCAGCTCCAGACAATAATCTTCAATTCAGACAATAGCCTCTATTTCAGACATTAGGCTCCAGCTTCAGCTTGTTCTGCCAAACATAGCCTTCGCAGACCTTTACAATTAAAGACTGGATTACAACACCAAAATCGATTCGAATTTTTTTAAAGGCCCACCAGCTGTATTAAAAAGCCCAAGGAGAATGTCCCAAAATAGGAGTACGAACAATGTGATATTTCAAAGAAGAGTCCTATATTTTCCCCTTAAATAGGAGTAAATTACAAGTCATTCCGAAATCATACTATCATATTTTAATATCACAATATTTAGTTATGTTGTAAAAACAGGACCGCTATATGATCCGTCAAGGCCACCAGGCCGCGGGTCAACTGGGTTAACCCGCAAATCACACAGATCAGCTTTGATGCCCCACTTATGTATTTAACTTTTTACTCCATATGTATTTAACTATTTTTTCCTGCATTTCCCAAGTCCCAATTCGTCTTTTTTATGCCCTATGTATTCCCAAAGTCAAATTCCCTTTCCACTTTGTCTTTTTTTGTTTTGGTTTTGAAGACTGTCTTCTTTGTATATAGTTTTATACAGATCTGGGAATTAGGGATGGAATTAGAGAAGCGTCAATAAAAAAACTCATCAGTAATTGGTGTATGACGTTTCCATCTACCATTACGTAACACTTTTGATTGGAAATCAGGAGCATCAAAAGGGTTTCTGCACATGAATAATTATAAGACGGTTTGACGCATTTTTTAAATCACATGGGCTAATGTGTTGAATGTCTATATCACGAGGGGGTTTGGTGCATTAAACCTCGTTTAATTCTAGATATACATAATAATCTGGTACAATGTGAATTTCATGTTAACCTTTACAAAATAATCCCTTTACCTTAAACACAAGTACCAGTAAAAAATGAGGTTTCATCATATCCTCTCTTCCCTATGTCACCAGCATACCTAAAATTCCCTTTTTTCAGGATCTTGCCAGAGTATTCATTGTGTTCTTGTTACCCCCGTTGTGATTTTCTTTAATAAAATCTTCTTTCCTTTATGAAACTGTGAGTTAGAACGAACAGCTTTCGGGTGTTTTGGTAGCAACTGATTTTCAGAATTAGGGTTTAGGTAGAGAAAGATGCTTGCATTAACCACTTGTTTCACACTCCAACTTTAAATCCATTTGTTTTCAATTCTGCTAAACTATAGCCCAATGCATCATGGAAGTAGCAGGAAACTCTGTCAGTAATGGCTCAGTTTGTATAGCTTTGTATAGATAAGGATAAGGATGTGAGCAACAAATTTATCATCGTGTCTGTGCATTTCAGTTTTCCAGAAATTGTATTGGGGATTTCGGATGGAATGGGAAGGAAGAATTGATTTTTATTATACTAATATACCTCTATTTATTATTTCTAGACTATAAATATGTATATGATCTGTAGGTCAATGCATTTCTTTATAATTATCTTTACATTATTTCCAAATGTGGAAATAATTTAACAAAATACATCTCCCCTTCTCTCCTCTACAAGATAATGCCCACTGGCCAGCTAAGAAATAGAAGGTCAACGGACTAGGTTGTTCTTTTCACCTTGATTTTTGCTTCTGCTCAATGTTATTTTAATCTAACTAGAAGCATTCACACCAAAAAAGGCAGATCTTAAACATCCATACTGGACATTACCAAAATCAGACCCGCCAATATCTTAAAATTCCAGATCAGATAGCATATATTCAGGCAAGAGAACAGGTCATTGATCTACAAGTTCAGTTTGGATGCATCTACACTGCATATTTTATGCCACTACAAAAAAATAAAGATTTACTCTTAAATTCATGATCTTCCATAAGTTGTAGTCTGAATCCAGCATTTTCAGCATGCATTTAACAAACTTAAATGAAGCAATTTAAAAAGATTACTCAAAATGTCATTTCAAGATAAAGAATCAAGATTACCTCAACTTTTACGTCTCATCTCTACACCGGCTTCTGAAGAAGGGCTGTCAAATACACCTCCTGATTCTTCACACCACTTGAATCGGTCTTATTTGCCACTGCCCACTTCACCTTCTTGTACCCTAACTTCCAGATCATAGGCCGATATATCTTTTCAAGATCCAATCTTTTACTGAAGAAATGGTCCAACCATAAGTACCCACCACCTCTCAACACCCTGTCCACATCATAGAACAAGAATTCCATCATAGTCACCGGAATCCACCTGTTCACGGCATGCCCACACCTCACTACATCCATCACTCCATCAAACACCGGCAGCCTTTGCTGCAGTGGCACGTGTAGTGGGACCAACCCCCTCAGTGCCACCGCCTCATTGTAGGGTGCTCCGAGATTCATGGTGGTCGTCACCACAGTGGCATTTTGAAGCTTCATTTTGGCCGCAAAGGTGCCGGTCCCACCGCCTATGTCCAGCCCCAGCCTAATCACACTTCTCGCAGACTTAGCGATCTGGACTAGTTGTGGAATTGACAGATCCAGATCTGATTTGGCCGATAAGAACCTCGATTGCTCGAATTTCATATCAAATCCCAATCCAGGGTTCGACTTGGACAAGCAGCTGAAGCTCTTGCAGTCGTAGTTCTTCCAAATGACAGCATTGTCCGGCAAGCCGGAAAACGGATTTTTCGGGAGGGAGGTAGGAGTAACTGCGGTGGTCCGGGAGAAGCATCGCCGACGGGGAAGAGGGTGGCACCCGCGGAGAATCAGAGACTCGGAAATTGAAGAATCAGAGGGGCAGAGGTGGAAGGGGGTGTAATTCATGTATTGGTGGAGCAAATCAGGATAGTCTTTGCAAGCAGAAGCTATGGGAGACATATGGGCGTAGAGGAGAAGATCAGAGGGAATGGTGGGGGAAGCTTTCTTGTTGGAAGATGGAGGAGTGGGCGGGTGGAGAGAGGTGAGGTGGTTGATGGTGGCGCGTATGGTCTGGAGCTGGCGGAGGAGGTGGTCAGGCACTGGGGTGACTGCTGGGGTAGGGGACTTAGATTGGATGTTGGAGGAGAGATGGTAGAGAGAGAGGATGTTGGTGGCTACCATAGCCAACAGAAGAACCATGTTCAGACCCATCGTGAACCCCATTGCTACCCTCTGGTTTCGAGATTTTCTGGGCTTTGCTTGGCTCCCTTTAGTATTCCAATGTCGAGCAGAAAGCTTCTTCCAATAACTACTTTGGGAATTGGGATCTTCTTACAGTGCCTCTCTACTTTCGCCTATGATAGAGTGTGTTCAGTGTTGTAAAAGGTCAAAGAATAAACAACTTTCCAGTTGTCTATGAACTGACAACTTTTCTGGCGGTGACAGACATGTGTACACAAAAGTTGTACACATTTGATGTACACCACACATTTTTCAAGAATAAAACGAACCAAGTCATGTAAAATTTTTCTTATTGTTCTTCTTATTTGAGATTGGTTCAAAAAAGAAATTTATTTTCTTTTTATGTAAACGTTGATTTTTTTTTCCTTACTCAAATCATAATCATACATTTTCATTTTATTTTCACTTTCTTAAATTTAGATTCAAGTCAAACCAAAAAGAATTTTATGGAACGAAAGACGTACTTCGCAGTTCGTATGTTACTGCTTCTTACATCTCTATACGGAGTATTAAATTTCATATTCGAAGTATAAAAATAGATTTTTAAAAGAACTTGATCAACTTTTTTTGGCAAAAAATACATTGCAATACAAACTTACGTCTTTTCACGCCTTTTGTGATTAGAAATTCACTTTTACATTTCTAATTCAGTGTCGTTTCTTATTATTCATGTCTAACTAACGTAAAGAGTATCCTAGTTGAACTACAAACTTCTTTCTTGAATTCACTTTCACATGAAAGTGTGAATCTTAAATTAGGATCAGATAGTGGCGGAGTCACAAACACAACTCACGAAAAGGGTCGGAACTTATGGATGGTGAACTAGGCGGAGAGGGGGTAAGTGAACAACTGACGAGAAAACAGGAGGCAGACGGTGGACTAGATGATGGGACAACATGCACGACAGACAGCGGAATAGATGGTGGGACGGGAAGTTGGCTGTTGGTGGTCGACAATGGCCGAGCTGGGTGGTGGCATAGAAGGAAGAAGGAAACCGGGAAGGGGTAAATCTGCCTTGGGAGGTGGTCTGGTGTTTGTACGTGGGAGGCCGGGAAAGATTTATAAGGGGAATACTTAAAGACTCCAACAGATAGACATGATCGGGTCGTGGTTGCAGGGTGAAGAATTCAAAATTAAATTAAACATTATTATTCATTATTTTGTCTTTACATTCTATTATTAGATTAGATTCATTGTATCTAAACTATTGCTTCCAGCTCTATCTTATAGTCGTTACATTGTAAGCTCCTATATATTCACATGCACGCTGCTCACATAGTAATAAGAGAGTGCATATTTATCTCTTTGCTTCCAAATTAATATGGTATCAGACGATGAACAAACAACACCCCCACCCCCTCATGACACTGCAACCTCTATAGTCCTTACTTCATCCACCATTCCGATAACAATGGTGCATACTTGGTTGTCCACCTCCTCACCGTCCTAGATGATTACAATGTTTGGTCCCTCGCCACGACCATGACTTAGCGTGGTAGGAACAAGTTTTGCTTTGTTGATGACTCTCTTCCCATGCCTTCTCCTGATGAACCTACCCACGATCGATGGCAACGCGTTAACAATTTGTTCATGTTATGGATCCTTCACTCTATCCATTCAAACCTTACCCACACAGTCCTTTACGCTCCCGACGTCGCTGCGGTGTGGGCGGACCGCAAGGCTCGTTTCTCATCATCTAGTGGACCTCAAATTAACGACCTTGAGTGCCAAATATCTACTCTTCATCAAAATGATGACTCCATTGTTGTTTATCATCATAAGCTTCAACGCCTTTGGAGTGAGTTGACCCTCGTAGATCCACCACCCAAGTGCACTTGTGCCGCACGCACACAATATGCCGCCCAAATTGATTGCTGTTATCTCATGCAATTTCTCACGGGCCTCCCTGACACATTTGCGGCATCGCGTACTCAACTTCTACTCACTACCATCCTCCCTCCAGCGTAACAAGCATATAACCTACTCAATCTCACCAAACTAAGACTACCTCCGCTCTTTTAGCCACCCCGGTCGGCCAAATTGGAAAACCCCATGCAACTCAAGCACATGCCATCTCACGCAATCCTTCTCGCTTTAACTCCAATCGGTCTCGTTGCACTCATTGCGGCATTCTGGACACCCAACAAGTGTGTTACTGTCTACATGGATATCCGTCCGGTCACAAATACTACAAGAAAGGCAATACTCATGGTGCTCCAGCAGTCACCGCTACCAATCCTGCCCCGTAAACTTCTTCTGATTCCATTCAACAACTTCTTCATCTCCTTCGAGAGCTAAGAAATGAACTATTAAGGGGAAAATGCCAGTTTTAAATTCCATTAAATAAGTACATGTAATGCGAGAAAAACCATCAACAATAGTTAAAAAATAATAGTGACCATTATTTGTGGGAGTTTTGTATTTCCCCCAAACATCAATATGAATTAAATCAAAACAACTTTTAGTGAAAAGTGCTACAAATGGGAAAGGGTAATCTAGTCTGTTTAGACAAATGACAAATATCACGTGAATGTAACTTATTATTTCTTGTAGAATAAGAATAATGCAAAACTTGGGTAGGTTTGTGAGGAGAATGCATGGGAAAAGAGCCATCAACAAACCAAACGTGTTCCTACCACGTAGAGCCATGATCATGGCGAGGGACCAAATATTGTAATCGTCTAGGCCGGTGAGGAGGTGGCAAACCAAGGGCACACCACTGCTATCGAAAGGGTGGATGAAGTAAGGACTATCAGTGTCATTTGAAGAGAGATGAGAGTGGGTGTCAGTGGTAGTAAAGGTAGAGGTGGTAGTGTCGTGAGGGGGTGAGTGTGTTGTTTGTTCATCGTCTGAAATTCAACTACGTGGGTAGGAGGTTATTTTTTAAACATTAAATTAGGAATATTGATAAATCTTAGAACAATTCATATAAATATGAATAAATAATCTAATAATGATATAATAAAGTATAAATAAAAAATAGATAAAGTTTAAAAACATTAAAGTAAAAAAAAAAGTTATAAAACTGACAAAATAATGTGAAAATAAAAAAATAAAAAATTTTAAAAACCTTTTAAATAGATGTCGAATATACAAATATTTTTAGAAAGAGTGAAATAAATAAAATAGTCAAAACTTTACATATGTGTGATATCCCTACATCAAACCTGTCCACATTGTATAAATATCTCCTACTTTGTAAAATTGAGATATTTATACCCCATGTCATACCAAACCATCTAAGAAAGCACACATTTTTTGGGGAATCACGCATCTTTCTTTGCCAATTAAATCTAACATGTTTTAATTTGAGAAATATTATTTGTTAATTAAAATATGACGCAAAAAATTTAAATAAATAAAATTGGGGGTATTTTTTAAACTAGGAAAAGTTCAGGGTGGGGAGCTCACACCAAGGTAAAGTTCAGGATATATTATTTATTCGCCCCTTTTAAAAAATAAAAATATTGTCTTTGATATTCAGAAAATTTTCACAATTTTTGTATTTATTTCTTCAAATTTTAACTTTTTTTTAGAATTTTGAGGTATTAAAAATCCGCTCTTACAAATCAAAAGCTGATTAAACAGTAAATTGATTTATTTTGTAAAGTAAATGTAGTTTAAGTGACGATTTGAAAATAGTATAAGAATGACGTGGGCCCGGTCCACCGCTGAGGACGCTTCTCCAGACTACAATTCGAACGACGTGGCCATCCGATTCTAAGGCTGGGCTCTTCCCGGTTCGCTCGCCTTGGGCGCAACTTGCGTTCAAAGGCTCGATGGTTCACAGGATTCTGCAATTGACACCAAGTATCACAGTTTTAATTTATTTTATCTCAACAGGGGCAATGAGGCTTTCGTTAACACTAGGTTCAATTTGAAGTTCACTTTTACGACTTGTTCACGCTTAGAAAATTAATTATTTAATATTTAATCGAAGATTGAGCTTAAATCCTTAATTCTTATTATCCTTAATTCTTATTATCCACCTAACATAATACGCCTTACCCTACAGATTCGAGTTTTACATTCGTACTTCCGTAGTGTGCGGAACTGATGAAAAGGAATGATTATATCCTCGAGAAAAATGCGACAAAGGCGTGAAATGGTCTCTCTTCTCTTTCCAGTCATTCTTTCCACGGCAACGGGCACCCAAATCTAAAGACCTCATTCCCACTCACTCACCGCTGATATGGTCTATAAAATCACCGGATTTCCTCTTGCCCGGCAGCCCGATCTCCGTTTTCCGGCGACCCAAAAATGGAAAAAGAACCCCTCCTCCCATACGCGTCCTCCCCAAGGACACCGCCGCCGCTCTCCCTCTTCTCCCTACCGGAAGACACTGAAATCACAATCATTCCCCACTCCCGTTCTATGACCCCGTCAGAATTCAAAGAAAAACTCATTTTCGGGTCTCCTCGAACCCCACGAAAAGAATTGAAAACACCCAATCCTGACGAGGCTTTTAAATCGGACCCCAAATCGAACATCGATCGTATGAATTACCCATCTCGGGAAAAGAGCAATCTTCACAGGAGCAGGACGGCACCCGCCATGGCTACAATGGATGATGTTCAGCAGCAGCAGCAGCACTGCTCAGCCCAACCACATTTCGCGAAACAGTCAATTGTGAAGCAATCTGTAATGCTTTTGATGGTTTACTTGATTCTTGGTGTGTCAGTGTATTCTTTCTTAAGGGGAAATTTTAAAGGCTCAGAGACTCACCCCATTGTTGATGCTTTATACTTTTGTATTGTCACCATGTGTACTATTGGCTATGGGGATATTACACCCACTACCCCTGCTACAAAGCTGTTTTCCATTCTTTTTGTGCTAGTAGGGTTTGGGTTTATTGACATTTTGTTGTCAGGGATGGTCGGTTATGTGCTTGACTTGCAAGAGAACTATCTGTTGAAGAAAATCAAAGGTGGGGGTTCACATGATCCCGGTTCGTATATAATAGATGTGAAGAAAGGTAGAATGAGGATAAGGATGAAGGTGGGGTGTGCATTGGGGGTTGTTGTTCTATGTATAGGGATAGGCGTTGGTTTTATGCATTACGTTGAGGAGTTGGGGTGGTTGGACTCGTTCTACCTGTCAGTTATGTCAGTTACCACTGTTGGGTATGGGGATAGGGCATTTGA